ATTACAAGTGACGGTTTCTGAATTACAATTGGAAAAGGTGTAGTACGTGAAGTATTTGCATTTTACGCACTAGTGCGTGAAGTAATTTACTAGAAAAATACTAAATTGACAGTTGTCGACATCTGTCATTGACATTACTTTACGCACTAGTGTGTGAAGTGAACTACTTTACGCACTAGTGTGTGAAGACAAATTTTACGTCTTCTGAATAGTGCGTAAAGTGAGTACTTTACGCACGGTAGTAGAAAATAGTTATTTATGCAACAAGTGTGATCATGTGATTGTCGCACTCGCCTTCGGCTCGTGCGTCAAAATTCACATTCGTGAAAAAAGGTGCTTTACGCACGTATTGCATACAAATTTTTTTCTACTACCAATCAAATATGTGTAAAAAAATAAATTTAGACAAATTCTTTACGCACTAGTGTGTAAAGTATTTTCACTTTACGCACTAGTGCGTGAAGTAATTTACCAGAAAAATAGTAATTTGACAGGTCGACATTTGTCATTGACATTACTTTACGCACTAGTGTGTGAGGTGAACTACTTTACGCACTAGTGCGTGAAGAGAAATTTTACGTCTTCTGAATAGTGCGTAAAGTGAGTACTTGACGCACGGTAGTAGAAAAATAATATTTAACTTAGATCTTAGATTTTGTGAACTAGCAAACATATCAAATTACAAGTTAAAATACATTTTCCAAGATGATTAAACGAGTTCCAGTAAGAATAGCGAGATACTCGAAAAGTAGCAGTTTGGTGTGCAATTTCTGTTGAGAAAAAATATGGATCATTTTTCATTAAGGTTTTAAGTCAGGCCTATAGTTTATTACAGTAACGCGAGATGTCAATGCTGTCGCCCCTATAGTGTGCCCTAACTTGACTGTCAAAAAAAAATAGAAATCTGCATTTAGTTAAATTATGTGATGGAACGTTTTTTCTTTTTTTGGCGGAAATTCGAAATATTATTCTGTTTTACATAAACAGGGTTGTAGTTTCGACCAACGCAAATAATTTTGAACATTCATCCGTCGGATTTTTTTCTAAACAGTGTAGCTACGGGCGTATTTCCAACTATTTTTGCAGTAGCGAGAAAACTACAAGTTCAAAAAATTTGAAAAAAATATAATTATGTCGCGTAGAATTGCAATAGTAGTTCGTAATAAAAATAATGGGAAACTTCATCTATTCGTTTTGAAATAAATGGTGAAAAACTACTTTTCCTACAGCCGTGCGGAAAAATCGATTTTCCGCACTGATATGCGTGCGGAAAATGAGTTTTCCCGCACGGTGCGGTAAAACTTTTTTTTTTGACATATCAGCGCGGAAAAAGTTTTTTCTACTGACGTTTCATAATAGCAACTTTTCGATTGTCATTTTAGTTTTAAAACGATATTCTTTTAAGCACTGAGTGCGTAAAAGTTACTTTTAAGCACTCAGTGCGTAAAAGTGACTTTTGAATGCGTAAAAGTGACTTTTGAGTGTGTAAAAGTAATTTTTAAGCACTAGTGCCTAAAAGTGTCATTCATTATCCAGAAATTAAAAACACACTAAACACAGATTTAAATTTTGTTTTGTATTTATTATGAATATTAAAAATGTAATTATTGAATTGAACGTTTGGGTTACTCAAAACAGAACTTTGTGTTGTTACCTACTTTCTGGGATTTCAATTATTGATATCGAATCTTGAAAAAAAAATCGCATGAAAAGTGTCAGGTGTCAAGCAAAAGCAGGTAACAAAGATTTTGGGCGTAAGCGACTTATTCACATGAAATAAAATTGTGTTTTTTTATTATAAAATGCCAGTAGAAAAAATCTTGTATACAATACGTTACGAAACGATGTCTTTTAGTCACTCGACGTGTTGTCCAACTCGGCTTTGCCTCGTTGGACAATTTTCACGTCGCGTGCCTAAAAGACGCTCATTTCGTAACTTATTGTATAAATAGCTATTTCCTCACGGCTGTCAGTGTGGAAAAAATTTTAGCGCACTGATATGTCAAAAAAAAAAGAAAAATTTTACATTTTTTCGCCTGCAGGAAATATATTGTACCTAACACAATAGCTATTTTTTTTCAGTTTTTGCGATATAACTCAAAAATGACGAGACAAATTTGCTTAAAAAAATTATGGATTGAAGTATATCGATAACCATAAAACATATATTTTTTTTGGAATTTTTGAACACAAGGTTCAGAAAATAGGGGTTGACTTTAAACCTTAATGAACCAACGATAACAGGAACTGGTACACACTGATACGTTGGGAATTTTTTTTATCCACAATCAAGACGGGAGGGTATCTTGGACGATATCTATTTTCAGCAGGATGGTGCCCCACGTCATATTGGTTTAATAGCAAGGGAATCACTAAATCTGACATTTGGAAAAAGATGGATTGGGTTAGTTTGATTAGTTAGCTAGAGTTAGTCCTATAGAATATGGACACCTTACCTGACTTGACAGTTCCAGACTTTTTTCTCTGGAATTATGTCAGGGAGAGATCCTGTAATCTTTTGCCAAATAGCCTGGAAGATCCTAAGTGGAACATTCATTCATAATGCCATTGAAGCCCCAGGTAATTTTACAGAATTTATTCAACCATTTACTGATTCATAAATGCGTGGAACATAATGGCTAACATATACGGCATTTTTTATAGTTTTATGCAGTTTTTCCTAATTTTTTAGTAGGCAAACATAATTTCTAAACTTTGTATTTAAATATGCTAATAAAAAATACCAGAACTTCGATTTTGATGTTTTACGGCTGAAACTTAAAGTTTAAAGGACGATGTTTATTGGTACATGATCTGTGGGTACATGGATACCTTGAACATGTCTCTTTTTTTTGACGTTGTGATATATAGGGTGTTCCATTGAGAATTTCATACATCTGTCAAAAGTGACATTCCAACAATAAACTGACATGTTTTGATTGTTGATTTGAAACAATCAGATTGGAATTACGCGATAATTTGCACTAGTTGAAATTATCGGATAATTGCATAGTAACTGGTGCGAGAACTGGTGTTTTGACAAAAAATTTAAATTTTTAATTCATGAAATTCTCTCATAAAATACAACTCGTGCGATGGAAATATATCTATAATTTTTGATAAATTTGCTCTCATGCGTTTTTAACTGAAAAAGGCACTCGTGTAGTGCACTCATGCTCTTTTTCGACTAAAAATGCATTCGGGCAAAATCGCTATCGATAATTTCCATTGCACTCGTTATATTACTATTAAAAATAGAGTGGAGAATTTTGATGTTGAAAAACGGATTTTTTTCAATTCGCCCTGTATAAGTGGCAAAAAAAATTGCAACCTATACTATAAAAAACTTTAGGTCGAGAAATTGAATGGCGCAAACTGCAGGTAGCTAGCACACCTGGTTTAAAAGTTATAAGCATTTAAAATGGGTCATCCTCAGCTGGGACACCCTGTATTTTAAGAAAAAAAATTCCCATAAACATGTGTTCGGAAATGCGTAGTTTCTTAGATACAGGGTGTCCAAGTTTAGAAAAAAATCGTTTTTTTATTTATAGGTAGCTCAAAAAGCCCACTCTCGATTTTCGATATACACAGCTGGCAAGTGAACATTTTGCATGCCAATTTTAATGCGATAGAATGAAATGTCTAGAGAAAGTTTAAAATTGAAAAGAGAACAACGATTTCCCCTGTTCCACCTCTAGCATTCTCAGTGCTTTTTGCTGGAGGTGGAATAGGGGAAATCATTTTCGCTCTCTATTCAACCTTAGACTTTCTCTAAACATTTCATTCTATCGCATTGAAATTGGCATGTAAGATGTTTACTTGCCAGACGTGTATAAATTTGTTTGTAATAACAATAGGTATCTTCTGAATCAATTAGATTTACCGTTATTATGCCAGTGGCGCCCCAGAGGGCAATTTCGATTGTTTTTTTAAATTTGACACCCTGTATCTCAGAAATTACTCATTTCCGGACACATGTTTATGAGAACTTTTTTTTTAAAAATATTGTAAGGAATCACATCCCAAAGTTAAAAAACGTACTCAGGAAACACCCTGTATATGCTTCGATTTTCTGACAACCCTGTACATGTACATGCTATTTCAAGTTTTAATAGTTTAATATATTTTTTTCAAGAAGCAGAATCTTTTATGTAGAATGACTTTTTTTCGTATAATTGATAATAAAAAAGTTTCCCATATGCTGTGAATTTAAGTGGACACACTGTATATTGTCAGATAGCCATAGGCGGCGCTAAAAACCCTGGGCTCCTACAGGATTACCTCAAAACTGGTGAGGAACTACATCGAGTACCTTACATTGCTAGGCACCAACAACAAGGTATCCTTACTCTGGATGCCGGGGCATCAGGGGGTGGTAGGCAACGAAAAAGCCGACGCCCTCGCAAAAAAGGGAGTGGAAGCCGACTTCATAGAACCGGAACCGGTTCTAGGCATCAAAAAATCAAATGCTAAGGATACTATTTCCAGCTGGACAAACGGCGAGACCCGATCTCACTGGAATAGCGCTGATGGTCTTACCCACTCTAAAGGAACCCTCTAGAAACTACACAAAGCAGATCCTAGAATGGAGCAGAAAAGACCTGCGCATTCTCACCAGACTGCTAACCGAACATTGTCGTCCCAACTACCACTTAAAACAAGATTGGTCTGTGCAGTTCTCCGGACTGCCGCTTTTGCTGTATGGAAGACAAAACAGCAGAGCATATCCTATGTGTCTGCGCAGCACTGGAGAGGAAAATGCTGGCGAGCTTCGGATTCGCCCAGCTGAAGCCGAACGACTTCAGGCAAATTTTGCCGTTCACAACCATAGACTTTATCAAGAGCTGTACGACAAACTATAACCATCTAATGATCGTTAGAGATATGGCCACAATAGACCCAGCGATTTTAAACCTAACCTAACCTAACATTTTTACTTTATCTTTGACTAAAATTCTTGAATAAAAAAACAAAAACCTATATTCACAAAAGATTCTTACCTCCATAAGGTCCTGCTCCATAAATAGGATACCCAAGCCCCACATGGGTATGATGGTGCGTATGTACATGTCGTTGCGGGGGCGGCGATCTGGAATCTTTATTATCACTTGGCGGTTGCTTACTGTTCGTCGGAGTCGTACTGGCCGGCTGCTGCGCGGTAGGCGGCGCGCTCATTTGCGCGGGCGATTGATGCCCGCTAGGCGGCGGATTGTTCGTGGAAGGACTCGAACTGGCCACCGAAGTCTTGGGGGTGGGAGATTTGATAGCGCGCTCTTGCAACTCGTGAATTTTATGGGAAGAATAGTATTGGGCGTGGTGCTGGAGCATGTCCAAGGCTTTGGAAGGGGGTTGAGCTCGCGATAAGTCTTCTGGAGCGTGGTACCGGGGGATTTGGGGGTGCAAATAGGGACTGCTGCTGTAGGGGCCGGGTACCATGATGCCTCTGTACATTGGATGGTTGGGATCGAAGGCCATGCCGTAATGGGCTCCTTGCATGTAACTTGGATGAATGTAAGCGTATTGTGAGGTCGGCGGTGGAGGAGGCCCTTGAGTTTCCATTGTAGGCTTTACACCTTCTTGCTTAACTTCTTTTTCTTTTTTGTCTTCGATCTTGATTTCTTTCGATTTCATTGAAGGATTTTGAGAAATTTTACTGCTAGATTTATGCTCGGAGGGAATATTTTGCTGTTGCGACTGATTCTGTTGCTGTTGTTGATGATGGTGCTGTTGGTGCTCTTTGCGTCTTTGTTGCTCGTAAACGTAATACCGTCTGGCCTCCTCCTCTCTTTCTCTGTCTCTGTGACTGTGATGTTGTGACACGCTCTGTTGTTGAGGTGGTTGTTGCTGAGGGGGCGCTTGTCTGGAATACATGTAGGGATTCATTTGGTTTTTAATTTCGATGCTTTCTTTGATAATTTGATGGTTCTCGTTTTGGTGTTTGTCTTTAATATTTGCTTCAGGTTGTTTGGGTTTGCCTGGCATAGGAACTTGAATAGCACTATTGGCAATCGGTGTGGATTGTTTTACAGGCTGCTCTATAGGACTTGGACTTTCTTTTACCCTGTCTTCTTTGTGTTTATCGTCTTGTTGTTGCATGGGATTTATTTGGTAGTTTGGTTCCATATTGTATGGGTACCCTGGCATGTAGCTGTAAGGATAATAGTGTTGCTGAAGCATTTTTTGTGGATATTCGGGGGTTTCTTTTTTGACTTCCTTTTCGATTGGAATTTTTTCTACCACTTTTTCAGGTTCTTTTGGTTTGTTTGTGGGTTCCAGTTGTTGCTGTTGAGGTTGGTTAGGCACCACGTATTGGTGCGACTGTGAAAAATACGGATAAATGCCATACTGGCCCATATGAGGTAAAGTTTGTCCACTTTCAGTCTTTTTATCAGCGTTTTTGATTTTATCGACATCGGGGTCCATGTTTACAGGAGCCCCATCGTCAGAAATATCTGAATAAGCCGGACTCTGCACTTCGTCTCGACCACTTTGCTGCTCCAAACCAAAAACAGGAGGATCTCCAGGACTCAAATGTGGACTATCACTAGGCGATTTTCTGTTTTTCTTCTTAAAGCTTTGCGGCTTTTGCAGATTAGCGCTGCTTTGAGGTTGATTCGGTTGAGGCATCAGCTGCTGCTGGGGCTTTTTGTCTTCGGGCATCAGGGCCGAAGTCGGTTTCACTTTGAACTGAGTCAACTTGGCCGTTTGCGTGGGACTGGGAGGAGGAGGATGATGCGGCGCGGGAGAGAGTTGAGATTGTATTTGAGGATTCACAGAATTTTGATTGGGGATGATTATGTTGGGAGGCTGGGTGAATTGTTGGGGCGACATATTGACGTGGGATTGTAACTGGTTCGCGAAAGACTGTGGTTGAACAGGTTCCGGTTGAACCACAACGACTGCTGGATCTGCGGTGCTTGGAACACTGGAACGACTTGGTATCAGTTGAACAGGATTTGGTACTGGTATTGGAGATCCTAATTTTAAAATAAAAATAATTAGTAAGGGAAACATAACAATATTGAGTGTATTTCTTTAGTTGTTATTGGACCCATTTGGTCTCTTTGAGCAGTTTGTGTGTGTAGAAGAAAACACTCATTGACATTTGACTTTAAATTCTCTGTTTGCTATGATAGTTGTTGTCATGACATTTTAGCACAGAACACATTTAAAGTTACAAATTTCTGGTACCATCTGAAGAATAACAAGGAGTTGATAAGTCTGTTTCTTCAGAAATCACAAATTAGTCAGAGCAAATTTGATTGGTTGAAAACAGTCAGTTTTCAACCAATGAAATTCACTCCGACTGGTTTGTGATTTCTGCAGAAACAGACGTAATAGTGCTGGTTCGGACTTCCTATTATATTTGTAAGTCAGCGAAAACATATTCAGGAGCTAACATTGAATCTGATCATATGTACTTGAAACTAAAAAAGACATAGTAAATGTGGATATCGAACTGTATGGAGTCTTACAAAAAATTAAAGAACAATTTTCCAATTTTCATATCGGAAGATTTTGATAAGAAGACTGGTAAGTTAGTGGCAAAAATGTTCAATTACAACCATATTCGGGCAAAGAATGATAGTGACAATATGGACATGAGAATCAAAGACCTGACTAACATGGAAACGCCTTGAACTTAAGATGCTGGGTAATTTTTCCCCTATAAACGATAATCTCAATGATTTACTTGATAACTAAGTTAAAGTATTCTGAATTATCTTATTTGTAATCGCTAGTGTCACAATAATCTTTACAGAATACACTTTCATGAAAGCACTATCATCGTGAAAAGGGAATTCATAATATCAATATATGAAAATTCTTACCTTGCACTGTGGATTTTCCACTATGACCGAACGTACCGCCGGACGGCACAGATGGATACTCTTCGGGACTAGTTGTACTCGTTGTACCAAATCTCAAAATGGCCGGTTTAACTACTGCCTGTGGTTTTCCTGTAGTGCTGATGCTCTCAATGATAGGCACATTTGGAGAAGTGGCAGTTGCCACCGTCGCGGGAAGCTCTTGTACACTGGGAGGTGTCGCTGGTGACGGTGGCGTACTTACCGCTTCGGGGGCAGTAATATTATTGCATATTAATGAAGTAGAAAGCTCGGCCTCTTTTTTTACTGGCGTTGGAGGGCTGTCCTGCGATTTCTCAGGGGATTTTACCGGCGCCACAGGACTCGGGGCTTCAATGTTGGAGGATTCGTCGTTTTCCGACATCGATGTCACATCTAAAATAATAACTACTATCAAAAGTGAACATTAAAATATAAGTAATAGTTACCTTTGGTATCATCATCATCAGCTACAGATCCGTGGGCGTGCGACTGATGGTACTTAAGCCCATTGATATGCTTGTACTTTTTCGAGCAATTTGGTTCGGGACACTCTAGCAAAACCGGCGAGGGTGGGGGGCTCCCACAGGGAGCAGGAGTCACTATTATCGGAGTGATCGGCGTGGGTGGTACCACTACTTTGGCCTTTTTACCGTTTCCGGGCGGAGGGGGTTCCTCTTCGCCGGACCGCCCTTTGCGCTTATTGTCAGGCCGAGGTGGCACGAAAGGGGTGGGTGACGCGGGTGCGTTCGCCGGTCCGGCACCGTTCGCCACTCCGCGTCGACCACCCTTTGGACCGCCACCTCCGTTGCGGAGTTTACTGTGAACTGAAGATCTCGTTTCTGTGGAAAAAAAATATGTTTTAGCGACTCAATATTTGGCATATTACCAAGTCTGTTTTTTTCTATACATTGTAGGCAAGAAACTACATATGGAGGAACACTTATTTCTGACAAGAAAAGGTTAAACCTTTACAAATATTAGCATATTTGATTTTGAAATGAATTTGAATTTTCAATTATCTCTACCTCAAAATTGCAATAATTCATTGTTTGTATTTAAGACTTCCCGGGTCCTTATTGGTCCTTATTCTCGAAACAGGGGAGCAGCGTTCTCATGAAAACGAAGGTTCTGTCTTCGTCGCTCATATTCATATTTCCATAACACTGACAAAGACCAAACCTTCGTTTTCCTGAGAACGCTGTTTCCTGGCTTCGAGAATAAGCACCCTGGTGGTGATGTTCACTGTTTTTCAAATAGATTAGGATTTATTCTTTCTTTGTTGCCTTTCAATGTTTGTGTGATATTATTGTCAGGAGATCTTAACGTAAATCTATTGCAGTAAAGTTCTTTAAGGATTCAATATTTGTTAGCATTGCTAAGCCCCTTCAACCTAAACATACATGTGCATTCTCCTATCGTATTACTTTGGAATCCGCTACAATAATCGATAATCTAGTAGAAAAGTGGTCGAGTAATATCTCTACCTAACGTTTCATCTACTGTTGCGGTAGACATCTTCAGAGGCGGTGTGGTAAAGGACATGTTCCGTGTTCCCCCTATGACTGGATTCGACGTTGTTGGACCTACGTTATATTATTTAAACTGTGTTATTTATATCTCGGGTTGTAGGCGTGGCTTGTATTACGTTATTATGCTTGTCTGGTTCTCGGGAAGGAAGGGTCTTTGTTTTTCGAAGAACTAGCAACTAGCTTTTGTTAAGATTCATGCCCTCTACTTTTTTATTGAAGTTGTTGTGGTGTTTCTGTATCTCTATGGCTTCTCTGTGAAATCTGGTGTAAAAATGTTTGGTTCTATCCAATGCTTGACTCTGGTCAAAACGGATGACATGGTTTGTTTGTCTTAACACGTGTTCGGCGATGGCTGATCTACTATTTGTCCCTGCTGACAATTTCTTCTGTGCTCTTTGACCCTGGGTGTTGATAGAGCGTTCTGGTTGTTCCTACATAGACAGATCCACAATAGCAGGGAATTCTATAGACGCCAGCTGTTCCAAGAGATGCCCTAGGATCCTTGTCCGATCTCAGACTCTGCTGAATTGTTCTTGTGGGCTTGTAGATGGGCCCAATGTTGTATTTTTCTAGCGTTCGTCCTATGAGACTGTGACATTTTTGATGTAGGGAAGAAAGACTCTCCCTGCCACCTGTGCTGATTTCTTATTATTTGTGCGCTGGTGCTTCGGTCTTATAGCTCTATTTATCTCCTGCTTGGAGTACCCATCTCCTTCAAGTGCTGATTTTAGGTGTTGCACTTCGTCCTGAAGGTATCTGGGTTCACAAATCCGGATTGCTCTATCAGATAGAGTTTTAATGTATCTTCTCTTTTGCCTAGAATGGTGATTGGATTCCTTGTTGAGGTATCTGGCCATATACGTCGGCTTCCTATATACTCTGTGTCCCAATTTACCTGAGGGTAAGCTTTCTAGGAGTACGTCGAAGAATGCAATTTCGTTGTCCTTCTCAACTTCCATCGTAAACTGTATCCTGGGTTCTATTGAGTTTAGATGGTTAAGGAAGTTTCCGAGCTCTGCTTGTCCATGGTTCCAAACAACAAAAGTGTCATCTACATACCGAAACCAACAAGTAGGTTTCTTTGTGGCCGTTCGCAGTGCCATTTGTTCGAAGTGTTCCATGTAAAGAAGTTGGCAATAACCGGGCTGAATCTACTCCCCATTGCGACTCCATCTGTCTACTCGAAGAATTTATTTTGCCGTTGGAAGTACGTAGTCGTGAGATAATGACGAAATAAATTGTTGATTTCCTCCAGAAAAACATCTTTCAGACAAGGTGGTAAGGTCTCAGATTTGATGAGTTTCCTCATCTTTTCCGGGTCCAACGGTAGTGCTCCGACGAGTTGATTGGTTTTTCGCAATATAGAAGCAGTGGGATTGCGCTTCAGCTTTCTGTAGGAAAAGGAGTTTAGGAGTTCGGAAATTTTTGATTCATAGTCAGTCACGTTCATGATTACTGTTGCGTTTCCTTTATCCGCAGGCAGTGTCAGACGTCTTCTGAATAGTACGTAAAATGAGTACTTTACGCACGGTAGTAGAAAAAATAATTTTCAAATACAGTGGCAATAATACAATAATAAAACATGATCAGGATTCTTTGTAATACCTATATGTACATACTTACATTAATAAAAAAAAGCGAATGAAAATAAAATATAAGAAAAAACTAAAATTATATTAAACCTAAAAAACAAAAATCATTCGAATTTTGGTGGCAATGGGCACACCTTGGTTATGGACCGTTTGAGCACTCCGTTAGAAGTCTTAAGTGACACAACACGACACTTTCCATCTTGTCCAATTTAGGGGAGGTAAATTGTCCTCTCGTACTATAACTAAGTCACCAATTTTAATGTCTCTGGAGTATTCCACTTGAACCGCTGTTGAAGAAGAATAACATATTCATTTGACCAACATGTCCAAAATTGTTGGTAGAGCTTCTGAAGATATTGGAATTTTGACAAACGGTTATCAATAATGTCGAGAAGCTTAGTGTCAGGCAACGAGGTAAATCTCCTGCCAATAATTAGAAAATGGGCTGGAGTGAGCACGTCAAAATTACTGGGATCCGGAGAAATTGGCACTAATGGGCGCGACTTCAAAGTAGCTTCAATTTGAGTTAATAATGTATACAATTCCTCAAATGTCGGAAGCATTACCCATTATGCGTTTTAGGTGGAACTTGCAAGCCTTTACACCCGCTTCCCAGATGCCGCCAAAGTTTGAAGACCTAGCAGGTATAAATTTCCATTGTACACCCTCGTTTTCGAATATTTCGGCCAACTCAGCGGATTGATTCTGCAAAAGTAAGCCAAGCTCTTTAAGTTCGCTGTTAGCTCCGATGAAATTTGAACAATTGTCTGACCATATGACAGAGAGCTTGCCTCTTCGAGACACAAAACGCCTAAAGGTAGCGATGAATGCAGCGGAGGTCAGTTCAGAAACGATTTCCAAGTGAATGGCTCGAGTACAGAAACACACAAAGACGCAGATATAGCATTTGAATGTTTTGGCACATCTGCCCGTTTTTGTTTTCAAATTGAAAGAGCCAGCATAATCCAGGCCAGTAGTGTAAAATGGGGGTGTAGGTGAAACACGGTCTTGCGGCAAATTTCCCATAATTTGAGAGGACGGAAAAGGTTTTACCTTGAAACATGTAATACATCCATAAACAATTTTTTTTGCAAGATTTCGTCCACCCATGGGCCAATAATGCTCTTTTAATGAAGCTAATAATTGCTGGGGACCAGCATGAAGGAGGTTTTTATGCTCAAACAAAAAAGTAATTTTGTAAATACATGTTAGCGAGATATCACGGCAGGATGTTTTTTGGCAAAATCCATCTGAGAAAGCTTTATCCTACCACCCACTCTCAACACCCCGTTGGCATCAATAAGGGGATTTAAGGTACTGAGGGGACCTCTTCTTATATATTCTTTTTTCAGCAATGCAGAGTATTCTGAGGCGGGCAACAAATCTATTTGGACGGAAGATTTTGGCCACTCAGAAGGATCCAAAACTAACCATTCAGGTCCATTCCACCAACAGTCGCATTTTATTAAATTTCCGGGATCCTTTGATAAAATATCAGCAGGATTATGGTTACAGCTAACATGATGCCATCCATCAATGGAAGTTAAAGCCTGTATTTTGGACACTCGATTACCAACAAATGTTTGCATATTATGAGGTGATTGTGCCAACCAACCAAGAACTACTGAGGAATCAGTCCATAAATAAATTATACAAAGATTTACATTAATTGACTGTTTGAAAATATCCACCAGTTGAGCCAACACCAAGGCTCCACACAATTCTAATCTGGGCACACTCACTACCCTTAAAGGAGCTACCTTGGATTTGGCATAAACCAAAGAAATATTCACTATCGCTTTTATCAACTGACTTCAATAAGCATGCACCATATGCTTCAATGGAGCTGTTACAAAATCCATGTAACTCAATCAAAATGCTATCCTGCAAAATCATTTCCTTAGGTATATCATAAGCTCATTCAATTTTATTAACTGATTACTCAACCTTTGCCATGAAGAGTGGATATTTTGTGGAAGCGAGTCATCCCAACCAATCTTTTCGCACCATAATTTTTGCAACATAATTTTGTCTAGTATTATGCAAGGGGCTACTAAACCAAGTGGGCCATATATCCTAGCAATAATAGAAAGGATTACTCGTTTAGTAGATTTACTATATATGTTGGGGGTAATGATATTTGATACATAAGAACATCAGTCTTAGAAGACCAATAAAGACCAAGAGTCTTATGTTCAGTTTTATCTCCAAACAAAAATTCCTGCTTACTACTTGTAGGACTATTTCCTTCAATAAGATTCAACAATTCAAGAACATTGGAAACCCATTTTCTCAACTCAAAACAACCACTTTTAAGAATAGAAGACACTTAGTTGCTAAGTAAAGCTGCCTTTTCTGCTCCAAAGAGCAGGTCGTCCACAAAAAAGCTGTTTAAAATAATATTTGAAGCCTCGGGTAGTTTCTCCTCAAAATCAAGCCCAAGTTGCTTGAGACAACGGATAGCCAAGAAAGATGCGGATGTAGTTCCATAGGTGAGGGTGTTTAAATTATATACTTGCAATTCCTCAGTCACATCAGGTCTCCAAAAAATCTTTTATAAGCATCTTTGTGCTGGATTCACCATAATCATACGATACATTTTGGCTACATCCGCAGATACTACCACATTATGGATTCTAAATCGTAGCAAAATAGAGATGGGATCATCCTGAAGGTTTGGACCAGTGTATTGGAGATCATTCAACGAGAATCCACTATCAGATGGAGCAGATCCATTAAAAACAACCCTCAAGCGAGTAGTTGAACTATTTTCGTTCAGAACACTGTGGTGCGGCAAAAAACATGAAATTTCAGAAGAGTCATCTTTATTATTTAATGTCATGTGACCCATGGCTTTGTATTTATTCATGAAATCCAGATAGAGTTGTTTTGTCTTAGGGTTTTTCTGTAGTTTTCTTTCAAGAGCGAAAAACTGTCTTTTTGCAGATAATCTAGAGTCCCCAAGTAAAGATATAGATTTTTTAAAGGGAATCGACACAATAAATCGGCCAGAATCATCTCTTTTGACAGTCTGGGTGAAAAGAGATTTACATTCCTTGTCTTCATTTGATAGAATTGGCTTCAGAGTCCTGGGTGGCTCTTCGATTTGCCAAAACTTCTCCAGCTGTGTATGCAATTCGACATTCAAATTTAAATTACAATGAGTTACAGATTGAGAAAGCCCAGGAGAAAAAGGTCCAGAAACGACCCATCCAAATCTTGTTTTTTGTAATACAGGCTGCTGCGGGCCCAAACTGAACTGACCAATGTATAAAAGTTGATAAAATATTTCCGCACCAAGTAACATATCAATAGTGCCAGGAGTAGCAAATCTAGGATCAGCTAACTTTAAATGCTTAGGTATGTTGAGAAATTTAATATTCAAATGTGTACTGGGAGTACTACTATCTATTTTTGGAACTACTAAACAGGAGATTTTCTTTGCAAAGCTGTTATGGAGTGACTGAATTTCAACTTCACATTTGTATTTTTTAAACAAGAAATAGTTTGGTTAATACCAACGACAGAAACATTAATATTCTCTTTCGAAATGCCTGAAGTATTGCAAAGTTTTTCAGTCACAAAATTCGATTGGGACCCAGAATCCAAAAGCACTCTACACATAAGTGAGCTACCAGCATAAGTCACAACTTGCACCAAGGCTGTCGACAACAAAATGTCACTATGAGCATTGCAAGCTGATAATATCGATATCGAAATGGTATTTTCCTACGAGCGTGCGGAAAAGTTACTTTTCCGCACGATTTTTCGTTTTGAAAGTTGTACTTTTCCGCACGATATTACTTTTCCGCACGATTTTACTTTTCCGCACTATTTTTTTACTTTTCCGCACGATTTTTACTTTTACTGAAAAGTGTACCCATACATATTAAAGTTCGGGGGCCCCCTATTTGGAGGCCCAGTTCCGCGGGGGCCCCATTTTTGAGGGGCACAGTGGCCCCTTTTTGGCGGCGGAGCCATGGGTGGCCCTTTTGGGGGCGGAGCTCTTTTGGGGGGGGGGTCGGAGCCCTGGGGGCCCCTTTTGGAGGGCGAAGCCCCTTATTTGCGCGGGAGCCCCTCATTTGGGGGCACAGCCCCGCAAGGCCCCCTATTTTAGGTGGCATAGCCCCGCGAGGGTGAGGGGTCCTGTCCTAACAATTTTTTTGGCCAATTTAGATATAGATAGATATATAACTTTAGTTCTTTCACATCAGCCATTTTACAGAATTTATTATGATTAAAGGGTCAAAACTATCAATAGGGTACAAACCAGAAATCAACAAATGTAGAATATTATGCTACAAATGATAACCTAACTTATTTACATTCAAATATAAAATCCTATATACAATATACAACTTACAGTACCAAACACTGCTTCAAATCAAGACAATATACAATAATAGCCAAATATATACTTATACCTAATATAAGGATAATATTCACCAATAATTATTGTAGCAACCCAAAGTGAAGCCACTACTACCAATTCCAAATTAGTTTTAATTGTATTAATAATAAAAGATACAAGAGCCAATTTTCACTGTTTAGGACGAATACATCCGGCTCGAAGGACCATAAATATGTCAGGCTTCGCCTGAGCTGCAGTTATTTGATGTTAACACTTTTTGTAAATTAAAACAAACTTTTGTAGGTAGAAAAAGGCCATTTTATTTCTCCTTTTTACAAGAAATCAAAGCACCAACCAATTCTAGAATAATTATCCTCCATCTTGTTGCTGAATTTTGATCGACATTGACAGACTTCAAATGTCATACTATTTTTCGCTGAGGAGCAGCACCTAGCTTACGAGTACGGGCAAAGCAATGTTGCTGTATTGACCTTAACTGTATGTTCTTGTCTGTATTCAGGCTGCGAATAGCTTTCCTTTCCTCGTATGTCAGATTGCACTTTAGAGGTTTCGCTAGTCGTAGGTAATATGCGTATGCTGGCTTCCACATTTGCTGTGATGTCTCCGAATGGCAGGTCTTTCGGTGTTATTGCAAAGTTGCCTCCTTTTCTTAGAACACTGGTTTTCGAATCAGTCAGAACGCGTTGGGTCAGGTTGACAACTGTGCGATCATTGCTTGTGGGTTTCGCAGTGTTCAATGGTTTCAAGGATCAAACTTATTTACCAATTTCTTGGTTGTTTTTGCTAGTGTTGCTTCCATCACGTCATACGTCATTCGGTCAATTTTGTCCCAGTCAGTCCGAGTCCAATGCTTAGAGTTGGATAACCTCTGGTTTATCGATAGAAGATCCTTCCATAGCACATCTACCGCAGCAGTAGCAGAACGTGTAAGGTAGATATATTACTCGACCACAGCATTATAGCACGGAAAAAAGTTTTTTACTAGATTTGACCGGCCGTGAAAGCCTTCATTTTGATAATCAATAATGTTTGTTCAAATTTTGATAGAGATAGGATAATACGATAATATAAATGTAAATGCAGGTCTGTTGGATCACGAGGCAGTAAATTGTAGATAGTTGGTTTGGAGTAACAAATATGTGTCTGTTAAAAAACTTAAGAAAATCAGGACAATTTACAACAAAAGTTATTTTAATAAATTCACTAAGGAATAAGAAAATATCGCGTGGAAAAAATTATAATTATGTCGCCAATTAATTCAGATTTTATTTACATAAACAATTATTATAATTACCTCGTCCCTTGGGAGTCCGATTATCAAGATCGCTAGTTGGCGAATCACAGAATCGTGGAGGTGCCCAATCGTGTCTGGTACAATCCAACAAAGTACCCACATAGGTTTTACCTCTCCACGTAACATTTACCACTAAAACACCTAGAAAAAGAAACCAATCGATTAGTAAAAAATTTGGTTTCAGGTTCTGATGTCAACTATACCTCCTTCGGTTTCGTGCCAAACGATGCCCTCGAGAGTGACACTAGTTCCAGGCTCGCAAGGTCCCAAACAGTCCGGCTCCGTTATGGTACCGACGCTGGTTCCCACACACACGTCCGCAGATTCCTGTAACAAAAATTAAACTTTATTACAAAACGGTAAATCATTGTTAAATAGCTGAAGTAATTAGTCGGTTTAGGATTGTTAGAGGTTGAATAAGTTTTTTTTTTACTTTAAAACAGCCATAATCGTCTCAAAACAAGAGGCTTGTTGTATAAGTAATTTAAAATGTTGCCCGAGCATAACGTAACGGGCCATTATTTACATCGTAATTATGATCTACTTTATTATTATGCACGAGTACCCACACTGGAAAATATAATTTACGTTAACGCTGAAGGCTTTTTAGGCCCCTACTGAAATATGATAGGTGGGCCGAAAAGTCAGTGAGTGTGTATTCAAATTATAATGATTTAGAAATAGTTTAGTAATATAAGTGCTGTAAAGACTCATAATTCAACACGATATTATTAAGTTTTCAGACAAGTTTGATAATAGTTACATCGAGGCAGGTTTAAATCAATTAACAATAAGAATGTAATACAAATTTGTTCATTGCGATAGAGAAATATTCTATTGAAAAAAAAAAGCAAAGACTAGGTATAGTTCTTGTGTAGGTACTGGAAAAGTACCACCTATGTCTAAGACACATCAAATTAGGCTACCTGATTATATATTCAGCCAAAGAGAATCAGAACCCTTGACCATTCACCACATGAGATTTTTGATTATCTCAAAGATGATAAGGTAACGGAAGCAACTGGGAATAAAATACTTTTGCTCTATGCCCAAAAACCACCTACCCTATGCACTGATGTTGAAAACTGTGATTGATTTTAATCGAGTCATAAACAGTTCTGTACCAGAAAGTTATTGCCTATTTAATGAAAAGCATCCTATAAGAGGAGAGGCTTAGTATATTTATATTAGCTACGGTTAAACTCTATTAAACTGGCTTTTATCATTTCCAGCCGCACGTTTTATGTCGCCCAAGCTCATTTTATCTAAAAGCTTTATCCACAAACAGGATACTACGTCAACAATATGGCTTTTACGGATAGAGCCAGTGGGGATTGATGCGAAGCTACAAAAATGGAACGTGGCTTTCTCTTTTAACGTTGTATGTGTATTATTTCGAGGGTTTTAAAAGCTTCAAGTTACATGGTTGGTCAATTAGTATAATTAAAAGGGAAGTGAGAAAGTGCCCATGCGGTTGCATTTAGCAACCGTCACAAATAATTTATATAGTTGTAATAAATGGGGTGCAAACATTAATCTATCCCTCCGAAAATGATGGCCCATATTGATTTGTCGCGGTGAAATCGCCCTATTATTGATATCTCGCTTGCTCAGTGAGGGTCTCGCTTATTCAGGGTCCCCCTATTGTATTGTTCATTGAAGTAGTAAGTATAGCCGAAATGAAATGAGAAGCTTGGAGCGGCTGCAACTGTCAGGGGCAGATGTTCGGAGGGTCTAAATTGATTCCACCATGTGGGCCTTAAATTTGTTTTTATCAAGACAATTATATTGTTTACCCTGGGCGTGTGTAGCGGTAACACTTCAAGTGTGATGAAAGAAACAATGAACAATGTGTGCCGATGGAAATGTTTTAAAATTAAAACTTTTCCTTCACAAAGTTAAATGCTCCGCGTGTCTCATTATAAATGATTACGTTTCCTGTTTTCAGGCCGTTTTCGCTTTTATAACGGCACCCTAAAACTTTTTTCATTCCCCCTCGTGTGGTTTCGGGGGCGCTCTTTTGATGTGATTTAATGAGCTTCTCGCTTCCAGTTTTAGCGGCTCGAAAATCCGAGAAAGAGGCGAATAAATTTGTTTTATGTTTGGAAAAGTAATTTCACAAACGGGCTCTTGCTGTTCCTAAATTTTTCAGATGTTAGAGGCCAGCTTCTTGGTATATTTCTCCTTGTAGAAGTTTTCCTCAATCACGTTGGAAATTTATAGACCTACTTAAATCGATTGGCATAAATGACCAATGAGTTGACAATTATAGGCCAAAATTATGATGACACAATGATCCAAACGAAGGTTATAGAGAGATGTGTACTTTCTCTACTAATAATTTTCGATGTCATTCGTGAAGAAAAAGTATAAGCTTTAAAAGATGTTGATGCTGGCATTATAACAGCGCTTTTTTGTTTGATAATAATATCATTGTATTTGGTAATTTTGTAGTTTGATAGTTTCAGTACTTCTAGGTAGCTTTTGAAGTTTCTGCAACAGGAATGTTGATATGTAAAATAATATAAAAGTCGCAAAAACTTCAAAGTAATATTCGAGTCCTAGTAACTTTGTCTTGTTATTCATATATCACTAAAAGTCTTTATAACTTCATGATAGCGTTGAAAGTAACTGACGTCATTGCTAGTTTTGAATTGCCTTCAAAGTTATGGAACTATGTATTAGTATTTAAGGAAAACGACTTCACAGTAATTTCTCCTTTCCACTCTGTCCTAAAATTACCACAAGTTCCAATTGAAACTTCATAATGATATTGGGAACCGTGAACTTCGAGATTGTTTTGTAGTTATCGCGACTATAAAGTTTTAAATATCTCCAAGAAATATTCATTAAAGATTTGTGGTACATTTTATAAAGTTTTGTTAGATACTGGAACTCAAGTCTCGCTCATTCGTGAAAGTAAGGCTAAAACCTTCAGTTTGATACCTGTGGTGGAAAACATAAAAATAAAGGCAGTCTGAAATCACACTTTTTGCTCCAAATATTCAATTGAAGTAACTATTTCATTAAGTAAGCACATTTTTCTTTTAAAATTATATGGTGTAGAAGATAATGCTACCTCTTTTGACATTATTATTGATGGTTTAAACTTTCTCAGTAGGCCTGGGTGTGATACTGAAATATGATCAAAGTGTACCATCATTAGCTGCTTTCGGAAATGTAAATCCTGGATCGAGTAGTTTAATATCAGCTGATCGCGGTTTAGCTCGTTTTCAAAGTAGATTATTCAACGTTTCCGAACGATTGGGTTCAACAATCGCCGTCACCCGCGTTTGTTTTTCTGAATGAACTGTTTTTCTTCAACGATCTGAGGTTAGGTCTTTACCTTTGACTTTTCAAAGACACTGCAAACCACCCCAAACACGACAAATAATAAGAATTCAAACACAAAACTTGACAAAAAAAGTCAAAACATATAAAATAAACACAACACATAACCAAAAACATCAAACAGCTGATAGATTAATTTTCTACCCACGTCAAGAGCAGGGTTAACGAGATCACAAACATATGAGAAAACCGAATCAACAAGATCACTTACCGAATGCGAGTACTCGACTTCGGATCATTTTACGAGCGTTAAGATTACTAATCGGATCGAACCGATTAATCAAATCATACTTTCCGAAAGCGGCTATTGATGTTTGAGTCACCTGGTACACCTCAGTTGATTCCAAAATTTATTGTCGATAATGAACTCGAGATGAAGAAATGAGCACAAGTGGAAATAAAGTGCCTTCCCTAATTTAGATAGGTAATTCCATTATTCGCCCTTCACAATCACCATTTACCAGTCCTGATCTATTAGTACGAAAGAAAAATGGTAAACCACGTTTAGTGGATGATTTTAGAAGTTTGAACCGCATAACAGTTAGAGATCGTTTTCCACTACCCCGTATAGAAGATCTAATTAATAAATTCAGCAATAGCAAGTATTTTACAATACTTGATATGGCTGCAGGTTTTCATAAAATTAAAGTACACCCAAATTCAGTAGAAAAATTGGTATTTGTAACACCAGATGGTCAATTCGAATACTTACGTATGCCTTTCGGTTTAGCAAATGCACCATCAATTTTCCAACGAGCAATAAATATAGTTCTATAATCTATTCCGATGTTCAAAGATAAAGGTAAAATTTATCACCTTTCAGTGCTATTTGATAAGGAAAGATGATAAATTTATCTTTACCTTTGGACTACGGATTGTGGATAGGATATACAAAACGAAATTACAATTTGGACGACATTCTTATACCTACATTGATAACTCAGGAAGGGTTAAACTTCCAGGTGCCGCACAAAGAAGCACAGAAGCAGGTATAATTGAGGTAGAAGCTTTGACTTTTCTTTTGCTTAAACATACCTTGGAGAAATGTCCACGTTTACCGCATTCAGTACACGTTGAATCTTTAGCATAACGTGCGAAAATGTCTTTCAGTACTTCCACAGAAATAAGATTTTTACACTGAAATGAGGTCATCTTCATGTATTTCTCTACTTTCAGATTGAATCACACCTTGAGATATGCTATATGCTTTTGAATGTTCTTGTGCCGATTCTTGAGATAGAGCTTGATTCTTGGCTTCATCAAGTTTCAAAGTAGTATTCTTCAACAATCGTTGTCCAATTTGGGAAGAGCTTAAGCCACTAATGAAAGAATCTCTAATATAGTCATTTTGACTTTCTTCAGCGCTGACAGCTTTGAAGTTACAGTCTTTACTTAGATGTATTAGTGCTTGTAAGTACTGATCAACAGTCTCTCCAGGTGGCTGCTTCCTAGACGTACGGCAGTGTCTGGCAAATATTTCATTTTTAGGTTTAATGAAAATTGAATCCAAAATCTTTATAGCTTCTGTGTAAGAAGAACAGCAGGATATGTGCTCATAATTGTTTTGGCTTACATAGTTCACCAAGAGTTTCAGTTTTCCATAATTTTCTAGCTTATCAACGGATGATATGAAATTGTTGAAAATTGTTTTCCAGTGAATCCACTCTTATGCAGCTTTTGGAGAGTTCCAGAGTTCAGGTCTTAAGAGTTTATTCATCTTGTTTATTAAATTGTAATGATTTACTGAATTACCTTCAGAAATTAGCCTTTAATAAACAAGAAATATACACGACATTCACAATGATGAAAAACTAATGACAATGACCAATACAATATGATAATAATTAATACTGGTAACAAAAACTATGTACAGAAGATATCAAAAGTACCACACATCTCAAAAAATATTCAGAGCGATCTAGTTTATCCAGAAATATCTTGTTATTTGCGCAGCAAGTACAGTTAAAGATATAAGT